TTTGATAGCTCAGACATAACTTTTCCCTCATAGGATAGCTGCTTCACCAATCTACCTGAACTTCCCCTTAAACCTCTCAGGCTTCACCCATTAACTTCAATTTAGAATCTCATAAAAACTTCAATAAATCTATTTGTTGCCAGTTCCAACCAGTTTATACTGGGAATTTATAAGATTTTACCCCATTGTAGTTGCATTTTGGTGAACGTGGTGCTAGTCAAACTGCTAACAGGATTTCCCTCAATCTGTTCTCATGAAAATTAAGTTTACTTTTAGAATATATAGAGGAACGTTTTTCCTGAAATTATGATTTTGGAATTCAACAAGAAAAAACATGGAAAAGACGCTGATTTAAGCAGCTCTATTCAGGGCACATGATATTTCAGCAAGTTTCTTTTTTGGGGTGTAAATTTTTATGATGAACCTTGAAGGTTTGCTGAGAATTCATTCATGTGAGTCCACGACATGAATACAGGAAGATAAGCTTCTGAAGCGCTCGTAAATTTTCCAGCAGCAGCAGACGTGAGCAAACTTGTAGCGTAATAAATGATTCAGGAATATGAATAATCTGAAACATGTAATTAGAATTTATATGGACTTTATGTGTGTGTTATAATTACAAAACCGCTCTCCAAAGTGATTTTCAATCCTTTTTCTTATTTCAAACCACAACATAATTTTGGAAACATTAAAATATCAGAGTGGTTTGATTATCATTTTTCTGTATCTATCGGGGAACAAATTGTAGACGCTAAAGAGAGAAAGTCTTCTGACCAGGGTTCTGTTTAATTCTTTTGTTGTGACCATTTTTTATATTTCATTTGCATGCTGGTTCCTGGACGCGTCAGACGAAGTGTGAAGCGGTTGTTTTCCTTCCTCTCTTGCTTTTGGGCTCTCGCCTCGATCGATACGTTGCAGCCGTATTTCCATAGACTTTCCGTAACTCACCGGACCTGCCTCCACATGTGACCAACGGGATTGATTATTTATCAGATTTTTTTTCCACGGGCTGGTCTTGAGGAAAGGGGAGAAAAATTACCCAGGCATTACCTTGGCAGCGCGTTTGGACAAGAATAGAAAATCACAGCTCGGAACGGAGTTTGTCTACAAAGCAGATAGTTCTTTACGTTTCTATTTGTTTTGCAGCTCATTGCCCCTCAGGTCATGTTCTCAGCGCGCCTCCATCACTCAGCATTTGATATTTTCGTCAATAAATCAGCGCAAAGCACCCTGTGTCAGACATGCTTTCTGGGTCTCAGCTTGGCCCGAGTGAATACATATTTATTCTTTGGAGCCAATATGAAATTGTTTGATTTCTGAGCTGGCTGCTCAGAGCATTTCTGTTTGATTTACTCAATCCAAAGGTCACAACAGGAGAGCATTATCTACCTCATTTATGCATATGTTTACATGCTTTCCCACTTGTCTGCTCAGAAACAAGGCGCCAAAACAACTATTCCAGCCTGTTATTTAAGGGTTTGTTTTTCAAATGTAGCTGGAATATCCACACTGGATCTGCAAGACTTTTTAAAATCCTTTTAGTTTAGTTTTTTACAGCTGATATTTTGTCATTAAAAGCTCATCGTCTTTCCCCTGCAATCCAGACAACAGGAGATCTGAGTTGATTAAAACATTCGTGTTAGTTGCCTTCATTTATTTCCACATTGTCAAATCCCTCTAACGAGCAGCAGAGCACTTTCTTTTAAAAACTTTTTTGGGCTTCTATTCTTTTTGGGCCACTGGCAGGTTTGAAAGACGTGTTATTCTGTGTAAAATACTAAAATTACAGCCTTTTATCAAAACCAGAAACTGTAAAAGCAGAAAAAAAATCATTAGATTTCCTGCTTTCTGACGGCCCTTGAACTAATTATGTGCAACGTGCATTTGCCACAGAAAAAATAACCACATCTAAGCTTAAAATTACTTTATTTCATTTGTGTCATTTTTAAATTTTACCAGAAAACAAACCACTTGATTAACAAAAATGAATGCAGCATGGTGTAAAAAAGGTACACAGAGGAGGAAGTTGTTTGAAGATGCATTCAACACGGTGAAATATCTTTCTAGAGTCGATGTGCAGAGTCGTGTTGGTAGAGGTTGTAAGAATGTAAATGAGCCTTATCAAGGTAGAATAGCGAGTCGTCCTCAAATGTGTTCATAACCTTCCATTAAAGAAAAGGCAAACGTCACAATAGTCATTGAAATAACTAAAAACTGAAAAAAGTAATAATAAATAAAAATTTGCTAAATTATAATTTAGTGATATAAGACATTGCTTTTGTATTGTGGTTGAAAAGAAATTTTTTTTAAAAAAAAGTAGAGCACTTTGCTGATGAGCAGTGGGCCAAAATCCCTGTCAACCGGTGCAGAAGTCTGACTGAGAGTTACAGAAAACACTTGATTGCAGTGATTGGCTCAAAGGGTTGTTCAACAAAATACTAGTTTACGGCTCCCATCATGCTTGTTTTCTTGTTTTTTGTTTTCTTTTTTTATATTTCTGTTGAACCACAATTCAAAAGCAATGTCATGATTTTCATTAAATTTTTATTTATTATTACTTTTGTCAATTTCAACTTATTTCAGCTGTTTTTTTCCTTCTTATATGGGAGCGTATGAATACATCTGAGGACGACTGTATAGCCACCAGGTTTTTCTGCAGTATTGGTAGCACCTTTGGGCACTTGGAAAATGTTTTGCACCTTGATTCCAGGTATTTTCAATTTCTGTAAAATAAAAGAAATCTACCTTTTCCTTTGTGACTCATGGCTTTAGAGCTTTGCTGCACAGAAGAAATCTTCATCTTTGTCGTTATAGTTTATGGAAAATGAGCCCACAGAAAGTGAAAACATGACAGCAACCAAAAGCACAGAGGAACTACTTGAAATTCTGAAGGTTACAAATCAACATAATGCAACTACATGTATACTGGTATGTTGCTTTCTAACATGCATGTTATATATGTTGTTGTTGTTGTCTTTAAACTCACTGTATTCCCCCTGCATCACCCTCTCCACGCCGCCGCCTCATAATTGATCACACTGCGACTAGAGGAACCTTGTAACAAAGGGAAATGTAGTTCAGGAAAGTGAGTCACCAGCTGTTACGCTCACACAGCAACAAGGTCATCATTCCTCTGTGTGATTGTTGTTTTAGTCACGTTTTTCTTCCAGCGCTCTCATCAGACGCCTGACTCTTTTTTTTTTCAAGTCTTCCATATTATGCATATCTCCGCACTATTACTCTTCAGAAACGTCTCGTATTGATAGCATCTCCACATGTTGCGGAGTGATAAGGCTGCAGGTAAAGATTCAAAAATCTCCATCGCTGCCTCGTCGTCCTGCCCGGCCCGGCCCGGCCCGGCCCGTTGTGCGTCCAATTAATATGTGTATTTAAGCTATTGGTGCTGTCAATACTGTGCTGACCCTACAGCAAATCTGTTCTGCTTCAGCTAAGATAATTGTTATCTTCTGAAGCGTGCAAATAGATTTTTTGTGGAATAGATTCTAAAACCTTCATTCAAAAAGAAATAAACGGGGAGGGAGAAAAGTTCAAATGGCTCGAGAAATGAGGCTGTATCGCGGCGAGGAAGTAGTTATCTGATTCTCATCATCGTTTTTCATTCAATCAGAAGAATTGATAAGCAAATGAGAGATGGAGTTTTGTCTTGTCTCTCCTCAGGCGGACCATCATGGAGGACGGGACCCTGCGCATGGCCAATATCTCCAAATCGGACGAAGGCAGGTACACGTGCGTTGCCAGGAACCTTTTTGGATCGTCCAGCAGCGCGGGAATGCTGGTGGTGAAAGGTATTTCTTTTTGCATCAGGTTTTCCACACCTTCCAAGCCATAAGGGTTTAAACTTTTGTTAAAGGGGGAAAAAAAAAATACTAGCTCAAGCATGAAATTGATAATGAAATATATAGCCGTTTTATGTTCCCGCCTGTTTGACAGACGTATAAGTCATCTGTGGCTTTGTCAGCTGTGAGTTATTGTTCATGTAGCCGAGTGAGGCAAAGCACGGCCGTCTATAGCTGTGAGTGAAGAATATTTTCATTTAATTTAAAAGAAAGCTCCTGTACCATTTTCAGATTTTTGGGGCTTTTAAATAATGATGATTATATAGAGAGAGGCCTTTTATTTCTTTGTAGTTGACATTGTGATTGCAGTGTGCTTAATTATTCATCACTGAGTTATGCCAGGCATTCGCTTCCTAAGTGAAGTTATTTAAGGTCACTTAATTACACTGATAGACCAGAATCTGTCTCAGTATTCTGGGCAAATTAAGCTTTATTACCTTCTTCATTTGGCTGGATTTTATAGAGATACAGCGATACATAATGTAACAGATAATGGCTTTTTTTTTTTTTCCTCCTGTAGAGCCCACCAGGATCGTAGTTCCACCTTTGAGTTTGGATGCCACTGTGGGGCAGAGCCTGGTGCTGCCGTGCGAGGTGTCCAGCGATTCGTCCCTGAGCCCCGTCTTCAAGTGGTTTTTCAACGGCAAAGCCATTGATTTCAGCAGGCAGGAGCACTTTGAGATGATTGGAGGGGTACGTATGAAGAACGCTTGCTTGTCGACTGTCCGGCTCTTTGTCAAAACCTGAGATACAAAATACACAGTTGAAAGCAGAAGTGTACACACCCTGTATAAAAAGACACAAAACTTTGTTTTCTCACTATCTGGCATTAAATTAGACGAAGCTTTTCCTGTTCTAGGTCAGTTAGGATTGCCAGAATTATTTATATTTGCTAAATGCCAGAATAATGAGAGAGAATTTTTTATTACTTTCTTCAAAGTCAGAAGTTTACATACATTTCCTTAGTATATGGCAGCATTGCCTTTAAACTGTATGATTTGGGTCAAATGTTTTGGGTTTCCTTCCACAAGCTTCTCCCAATAGTTTGATAGAGTTTTGGCCCATTCCTCCTGATAGAACTGGTGTAACTGAGTCAGGTTTGTAAGCTGTCTTGCTCCACACACATTTTCAGCTCTGTCCAAATTTTCTCCAGGATTGAGATCAGGGCTTTGTGATGGTCACTCCAAAACATTGATTTGGTTGTCCTGAAGCCTCTTTGTAACTAATCTGGCAGTAAGCTTTGGGTCATTGTCCATTTGGAAGACCCCAAGCTTTAACTTCCTGGCTGATGTCTTAAATATTTCCACATAATGTTCTTTCCTCATGATGCCATCTATTTGTGAAGTGGACCAGTTCCTCCTGTAGCAAAACAACCCCACAACATGATGCTGCCACCCCCGTACTTCACAGTTAGGATGGTGTTCTCAGGCTTGCAAGCTTCCCCCTTTTTCCTCCAAATGTAACGATGGTCATTATGGCCAAACAGTTCAGGTTTAGTTCCATCAGACCACCGGACATGTCTCCAGAAATGAAGGTCTTTGTCCCTGTGTGCATTGGCAAACTGTAATCTGGCTTTTTTATGTTGCTTTTGGAGTAATGTCTTCTTCCTCTCTGAGTAGCCTTTCAGCTCATGTCGGTACAGGACTGGTTTCACTGTGGATAATGACTCTCTGACCAGCTTCAGCAGCATATTCACAAGGTCTTTTGTTCTGGGGTTGATATGCACACCTCATGTCTGGGACTCAGAACCCGTCTCCTTCCTGAGCTGTATGATGGCTGGACATTCCCATAGTGTTTATACCTGCATGTAATTATTTGAACAGATGAACGTGGAGCCTTCAAGCATCTGGAAACTGTACCCAAGGATGAACCAGACTTGTGGAGGTCCACAATTCTCTTCCTGATATCTTGGCTGATTTCTTTAGAGTTTCCATGTTGTCACAAAAGGAAGCAGCGTGTTTGAGGTGTGCCTGAAAATACATCTACAGGTGTGCCTCCAATTAACTTAAATGTTGTCAATTAACCAATCAAAAGCTTCCAAACCCATGACATCATCATCTGGGCTTTCCCAAATAGTCTGAAGGCATCTTAGTGGGTATAAACTTCTGACTGTGAAGAAAGTAGGAAAAAAAAAATCTCTTAAAAAAATTATCTCTCTCATTATTCTGGCATTTAGCAAATAGAAATAATTCTAGTAATCCTCACTGACCTTAAACAAGAAAAGTTTAGTCTGATTTTTGTACTGTCAACTTCTGGTTTCAGCTGCATGTATTTAATGAGACCCTCTGCAGGTGTGCAGCATGAAGGAACCTTTACTGATGGTGCAGCAGAGACTTTCTTCTTCTTCTTCTCTGTAAACTAGCAGAAAAACGTACACAATACACAGTAATTGTAATGACGTTGTTCGACTGATTGTTTGCTTTCATGCTCGGAGTTTGATGAAGAGACGCCTCATTCATGTCTGTTCATGGAGCGCTGAGACGAGGCCAGACGTCGGATCTCAGCACAAAGACTGAAAGCGGGGATGAAAAATGAATCCTCCGACCTCGAACGCTCGCTAATTAACACGTCGTATCTCCGCTGTTTTAATGAGCACAAAAACAAATGTATGCATGAAGGACAATATGCAGTTTTAGGGTGAGTTATGCATGACGGTACGCCCACCGTGATTCCCCACACAGCTGCGACGTCTTGACGCATGTTTTTTGCAGTGAGTCAGGATACAACGCTGTCCTATTTTCCTGCACTGACGTGCATCAGCTCTCCACAAAAGCAGATTTTTTTCTTTTTTGCAGCTCTGTGGTGTCTGAAACTTTACTACCTCTGTGTGCATTGGAGCCCTCAAAGTCTGCGTCATATTGCACA